TATTTCAAAAGAGACAGTAACGTTTATTTGTGCCGCGAATTATGGATGCAAGATACGTGAAACGTGACTTTGGTAACATATGCCAATCATCAAGTATAAGTAAAGAGGCTGGCTGTAATAATGATGACTGAAGACGAATGGCTGTTTACAGACGACGACGACGATAAGATTAATTTATGGTTTATGGATGTTTGGACCCACTGGATGATGACAAATGATCAGGTGACTTTGTTCCTTTAATAGATCGTGCGAAGATTATTTTTCTATCATGAACTGTGAACATTAGAAAAGAACTTTTAAAATATTTGCAATTATTTGTTGATTTAACTTTTTTCTGTTGATGTGAGGACTTTTTAATAATGTTAGTTGATAATTGACTCTATAATAATATTTTAATTTGAATGTTAAAATCAAAATCTTGTAGTAGGATATTTTGTTTTATTCTAAGATATTATTGTGCTTATTATATTGTTGTTATACAAAGAGATAAGATTTGCGAATTAAAAGCGACCACAACCTCGTTCACGTAATACTAATTTAGACTACACTCAGAAAAATAATCTAAGCTTTTAACTTTTCAATTTTTTTTTTAATTTTCTTTTAAATAACTTTGATATAAATTTTTTAAAATGCAGTCTAAACAAAAGACTCTAACCGATTTTCAAAAAATTAGTCATAATATTAAAAATTCGACATATAAAGCTGTTAAGGCGTTGCACATTATAGCATATGGAGACGAAGGGGTGCCGCGACAAACAAGAAGGAATTTGCGGAATTTTTCAGGCTTTGCATGGGATAAAAATGCCAGCGAATATGCTGATAAGATAAACGACGTAAAACAGAAACTAGATATGCCAGACTTAGTTGCAGTCTGTAACGTATTGGATCTGGATTATTCGGGTGCAAATGACGATGTAATTGAACGTATTTGTTCGTTTTTGAAGGAATTAAATGTAGATGACCAGAATGACGAAGATGGCGATGATTACGACGACGCTAAAGAAGCTTCTGACGAAGATAAAGACGTTTATGACGATAAAGACGGTTTCGACGACGAAGACGATAATGAATACGAGGACGATACTGAAAGTAGGCCGACGATGGCTTTAAAGACGAAGAAAAAAACAAAATCAGGTAGAATGACGGCCGGTAAAGTAAATGATTCTTTTGCTTTGACTTTTAAAGACGTAGAAGACAGCATAAGACCCTTCGACGGAAAAGACGATTATCCGGTAAGAAAATGGATTACTGACTTCGAAGAAATTTCTGAGTTAATGGGATGGAATGATTTGCAAATGCTAATTTTTGCCAAACGATCCCTAAAAGGAATTGCGAAACTGTATATTCAATCAGAAAAAGGAATTAATGGCTGGAAAATATTGAAGAAAAGACTTATTTCGGAATTCGAAAATAAAATAAGTAGCGCTGAAATACATAAAATGCTGATGCGTAGAAAGAAAAAACATGATGAAAGTGTACAGGAGTATGTACTGACGATGAGGGAAATTGGTAGCAGAGGTAACATAGAAGACGAGGTCATAATACAATATACAATAGAAGGCATTCAAGACGACCCTGTTAATAAAGTTATGCTTTATGGCGCAAACAACTTCAGAGACTTCAAGGAGAAAATTAAATTGTATGAACTCATTAAAAAACAGACGACACATAAATCCTCTACAACTGAGACGCATAGAAAGAAGTGGACAAACAATGAAGTACGACGAGATGGCAGAAATAATGAAATATGACGAGATTATAGAAACAATGAAGCTAGAGGAGATGACAGAAGAACGTCGGAAAATAGGATTAAGAAAGAAGAACAATGTTATAATTGTGGAAATCGAGGACACAGATCGAGAGATTGTCCTGATAAAGCCAAGGGAACGAAATGCTTCAAATGCAACCAATTTGGACACGTTTCCTCTCGATGCAATGCTAAAGATGCTAAAGAAGATAGACCTTCGACTTCTGGTCAGGTAAATGTCATTGACGTGGTATACAAAAACTCAGTGACCTTAAAATTTGGAAGAATATCGTTACGTGCATTGTTTGATACAGGAAGTGACATAAGTGCAATGAGACAAGATATTTTTGAAAAGCACTTTGATGACGTCATTCTTACGAAGAATATAGTAGAGTTAAATGGATTAGGAGGAATTAAGGTTAAAACTTTAGGTTCTTTTAATATAATAGTGGAAATACAAGGCGAAGATTTTCATATTTTATTTCATGTAATCCCAAAAGGAGCTCTAGACGTAGAAGTTATTCTTGGAAACAATATACTAAAACAAGCAGAGGTTACCATAACCGATGATGGAATTATTGTATGTAAGAAAGAAGTAAATAATATGATAATGAGGATTGCCGTTGACGAGGCGACACACGATGATAATTTACAACTGGAACATATAAAAGACCCAAATATCAAGATGGAGATAAAAGAATTAGTGGAAAATTATGAACCACGACAGACCAAGACTACAGATATAAAAATGAAAATAATTCTAAGTAGCGAAGAACCGATACACCAAAACCCAAGAAGGCTATCAATACCAGAAAAGCAAGAAGTAGGTAAGCAAATTGAGGAATGGATAGAGAAAAAAATAATTCGACCTAGTACATCCGATTTTGCAAGTCCAATTGTACTTGTCAAAAAGAAAGACGGACAGATCAGAGTTTGCGGTGATTACCGAAAACTTAACCGGAATATAATAAAAGATAGGTTTCCATTACCTTTAATAGAAGACGTATTGGATCGATTACAAGGTGCAGAATATTTTAGCACAATAGACCTAAAGAATGGATTTTTCCATGTACCAATAGAGGAAGATAGCATTAAATACACTGGATTCGTCACCCCAGACGGACAATACGAATTTTTAAGGTGTCCGTTCGGATTGTGTAATAGTCCTGCAGTGTTTCAAAGATTTATTAGCCACATACTTAGAGAGCTGACATCCAAGAACATAGCAATTTACTATATGGATGACATAATAGTTTTAAGTAAATCCGAAGAAGAAGGAGTTGTACGTTTAAAGCAAGTACTCGAAGTAGCTAGGGACTACGGCTTAGAGATAAAGAAGAAAAAGTGCCAATTTTTACAGAAAAGAGTAACGTTTTTAGGATATATTATTGAGGACGGCAGAATTCAACCATCAGATGAAAAAACTATGGCCATAAAGAAATTCCAGGAACCAAAGAACTTTAAGCAGATTCAGTCATTTTTAGGCTTGACTGGATACTTTCGAAAATTTGTACCGTCATATGCTACGATAGCTAAAGCCTTAAGTGATCTACTCAGAAAAAATCAAACCTTTGAGTTTGGATCAAAAGAAAGGAGTGCATTTTTAAAACTTAAAGAGCTGTTAACTAGTCAGCCGGTTTTAGAAATTTATCACCCAGATAGAGAAACCGAGTTACACACAGACGCTAGCAGTCATGGATATGGAGCTTGTCTTTTACAGAGATCAAGAGAAGATAATAAGTTTCACCCAGTTTATTATATGAGCAAGAAAACAAGTCCAGCCGAGGAAAAGTATACAAGTTACGAATTAGAAGTTTTGGCTATAATAGAAGCAGTGAAAAAATTTCGTATCTATCTACTCGGAATCAAATTTAAGATAGTAACGGATTGTTCCGCATTTACTAAGACTATGAATAAAAAAGACTTAACTACCAGAGTTGCGAGGTGGGCTCTGTTACTGGAAGATTATCAATACGAACTGGAACACAGAAAGGGAACAAGGATGGCTCATGTAGACGCTCTCAGTCGATACCCTATAGTCATGATAATAAATGAGACATCAGTAGTACAAGAACCAGGTTTTATAGAAAGAATAATGCATGCTCAAGAAGCTGATAACCACATTCAAGCAATAAAGAAAATACTTGCTACGGAAGCTTACGAGGATTTTCTGATTAGAAACAATATTCTATTTAAATATGACGAAGGTAAGGAATTGTTAGTCATTCCGAAACGAATGCAAACAGAAGTAATTAAACTGTTACACGACGTAGGACATTTTGCTGTAACAAAAACACAGGAGTTAATTCAATGACAATGTTATATTCCTAACCTTAAAGAAAAAGTCGAGCATTGTGTAAGAAGTGTATACTTGGAAGTAGAAAAGAAGGTAAAAAAGAGGGTTGGTTACATCCGATATTAAAAATCGATGGACCTTTACAAACATTTCATGTTGATCATTTAGGACCTTTAGCTACAACCAACAAAAACTATAATCACATTTTGGTGATCGTCGACGATTTTTCTAAATTTGCATGGTTTTATCCTACAAAATCAGCGACGGCAAAAGAAGTCATAGAATGTATGAAGAGGCAACAGAAGGATTTCGGAAATCCCCTCCGAATAATATCCGATAGAGGTACCGCATTTACAGCGAACGAGTTCGAAGAGTATTGTCAAGGTGAAGAAATTAAGCATATTAAGATTACGACAGGTGTGCCAAGGGGCAATGGGCAAGTAGAACGTGTCAATAGAACGTTAATCCCAGTATTAACCAAATTGAGTATAGAGGAACCGACGAAGTGGTATAAGCATATTTATAAGTTACAACAATTTTTTAATTCCACTTATCAAAGAAGCATTGATACTACGCCATTCGAAGTACTTTTTGGGACAAAGATGAAGAATAAAGAGGATCTAAGGATGAAAGAAATAATAGAGCAGGAAATGATCAAACAATATGATGAAGGTAGAGACATGTTAAGAAACGAGAGTAGACGTCAGTTAATCAAAGTTCAGGAGGACAATAAGCGCAGGTATAACTTATCCATTGGTCTATCTAGTCTGATCAGACACACCAGAACAGACTATATATAAAAAACATTTTTAAATCATTAGTTGTATTAAAAATATATTTTGGGCTATATTGGATGCTTATGCACAGTTTTTAAAAATATTTTCGGAAAAATAGTCAACATCTCTATTATATATTTTAACAGGATACTTTAATTACATTAAAGTATTTGATTTTTAGGTAATCAAAGAGTTTTGTCGAAATATTATTACAGAGAAATTTGGAAATACGCCGAGTATAATCCAACTTGAATTAATATGGTCGTCGATAGTATCCATATTTTTGGTTGGAGCGGCAATTGGATCATTGGGAGGTTCGGTATTGGCTGACAAGATAGGTCGGAAAGGTGTTTTAGCAGTTTGTTCTGGATTAGCCGCTCTTTCTGCAGTACTGTTTTTTATAAGTCGACCAGTAATGTCGATAGAATTATTGTTCATCGGAAGATTATTGGTTGGATTTTCTTCAGGTAAGTTTATAAATGAAGACAATATTATGCTACAATAAAAATCACTATGTGTCACTAATATTTAGAAATAAAGAGACATGTATACTAAGTGACACAGAAATCCGAACATATATTATAAATTATTTTATTTTAAATAGGTAAAAAGAAATAAGAATAAGACTTACTCAAATTAATTAATTATATCACCAACGACCGGCTTCACATATTAGGATTTGCTATGCATGTTCAGGTCAACTGTACATGGTAAACTAAACGCTGAAAATATAATCACCCGTATTAGGCTGCTATCTGGTACAGAATATACAGCAATTATGCCAAAATATGACTTTAAATTGCTTAAATAAAACTTAAGTGAAAAATGATGTAGTAAAATTGAAATTAAGTCAATAAATATTACTTACATGCCAATACAAGGATTATTATTAAATGTTTGAGAAAACATAGTTTAAAACACTCTTATATGGTAAACTTTTGACAGATGATCATCGGTTTTACTGCAACTATTTAACGAATAAGGGGAAAGTTCTTGAGGAGAAAAGATATTAACAACTAGGCTAGGAATGATCCAATGATCGCCAAAGTCGTTTACAATTCCTAGTGTACGAAATCGTGAAAATTTCCATCAACTGAGCGAGTTTGATGTGAGGCGGATAGTTGGCCTAAGAATAAGAATAACACAGCGTCAATAATCTTTGCATAAGATACAATATGTAACAACAACTTTAGAAATTATGCCGCCAGTTCTTATCGTTACTCAAAGCATGTGGTTTCAAATTAATCGTTGCGCCTTAGATTTCTCACCGTAGTTCAGTGTTAAAAAAAAATTAATCTATGTCGATCCCAATCTTTATGTATGAATACCGTACTGTGTCAAATTGTCCGAAAATGGGGAAAAACTTTTCCGAAAATAAAAAAATTTCCCTACTCCTGGTACCAAAATTTTTGTACGGCCTTATGCCTTAGAGGTAATTATTTTTGTATTACCTACCTAAGTTATAAATGCCGTACAAACATGTTTGACCAAAAAATTACCCCCTTGAATGTTAAGATTATCTTACATGTACCGATAAGAATTGAGGACGTAGTTTCTTAAGTTGTTATTACATATTGTAGTATATATGTGATTAATGCTGGGTCAAATGATCCATTAAAAATCTCCCATGGGCTTGTAGTCTACTGCAGCTTCTTGCTTCTTTATTAATTTTCATCAGACTGATTATATTTAAAAAGAATATGGCTGCTTGGTGCGACTCAGGCCAACTCACCGAGAAAAAACTTTTGTTTCAATTATTTATTTATTTTCAGGCCTCACAACTACTGTTGTTCCTATGTATTTAACTGAGTTAGCCCCTATTCACTTGAGGGGATCTACGGGTGTACTTTGCCCCCTGGGAGTGACTATAGGTGTACTGCTGGGTCAGATTATGTCCATGCATGATATATTAGGTAAGTAGAGTGATTTGTATTATCTAGACGTTGACTCCGACTGTGTTACATCGAATAAATAATTTCAAACATTTTCTCCGATATTTAGATTCGTAGATATTTATTTTTTCTAAATCCTTACATTTTTAGAAAAATCGAAATAATCCAAAACACCCTCTATTTAGGTATTGGGAATCCTTATAAAAGTATAGCTTGTTTTTTAAGGACTTTTAAAAATGTCAATATACATCAAATATAGGGTCTTTCATAAGAAAAAATATAACTTTGATATACCACTCTTTTTTGGAACACCCTGCATAATTCACGATTATTTTTAAATTGTATTGTTATTAGCCCTGTATATTTCTGTGCAGAAAATTTTTTTTATATATGCAAAATGTTGGAATGTGTTTAATTCGTAGAACAATATAAGTTTGTTATGGAGTAGCAGCCAATGGTTTTGGTCCAGAAATTTAGAAAAACTTAATTCCTCTTCAGGACATCTAAAAGACAATGAGTATATGAGTAGATTTACTCATATGTAAAAAACATTTAATGAACTTAGTGATAGCGAAACGACACTCTCAAGCAGGGCCTCACCAACTGTAGTTGCTTCTTGGTTGAGTAACTACTTCTGGTCATTTGGAAAAATAGTCCAAAGCAACTATCAAATACTTGTTTTCTGATGTTGTTATTGGGAATGGTCCCAGAATGCCAACAGCAATTGTTAGAGTTTCACTAAGTCTCGTTTTGGATCCCTTCTTGGATGCACACAAGTCACATCGTTTGCATCATTCTTATCTTGCCGACAATTAAGCCAATAATACCTGTCACGGACTTTGGTCAGGGTCCTATTTATCTCAAAATGCTCCCCAGAGCGGCCATCATAGAGTTCTACAAGTACGTCCTTAACACATGAGTTTGGAGGAACAAATTGGAGCACTGTTCTGGTTCTATCTGGACTTGTCCAACCACTCTCGGACTATCTTTAGGTCTGGATCTTTTTTCTGCTCACGATCTTGCTTAGATCTGGATCTTTCTGCTGAGGACAGTTTAATCTGGATCTTTCTTCTGTTGCTTACGAACTTGATTTAGATCTGGATCTTTCTTCTCTCCACCTTCTCTCCTAGATTTGCATCTGGATCTTTCTTCTGCTCAGCCTGTAGGTTTTCCTTGATTAGAGCTTCTTCGTTACTTCCGGCCACTATGGGCGGACATCTTGGTGCCCGCTGAATCAGCAGTTGCACTCCTCGCATGGTCTTTGCTATGCGAGGAGTTCATTGAGTGACTATTGAGAAATCCATTGGCATCTAAACTGTCGCTACTTCGTCTTATTGTGGATATTAATAACCTGGGACTGCGTTGCTGTGGTGGGACTGGCCTGTCAGTCGATTTTCTGTTCTTTGCTCTTATACGTTGTCTGCAATCACGGTGAAGGCGGCCTACCAATCCACGATTGTAACACTTTGGGCGCCCTTGACGTTTTTTATATTCCACGAATACTCCAGAATACTCCAATAATATTAATTATAGCTGAGATAATTTTAATTAGATATATTTACTAGCACTTTTTGTGTAGAATGAACCGTTCTCTTAGAAACAACACTTGGAGCGACCGTCGATTTTGAATGTGTTACGCGCGCGAAATCAATTTTTAATAAAATTTGTATCGGCTCGACGGTAAAAATTTACCTTCGATATATTTTGATTCAATTATCCTATCGACCAAAATTAAGATGCGTTAAAAAGGTAAAGAGTTCAACTTCTGTATGCAATTATTTTATTTTGCCACAAATAAACTTAGATTTTATAAAGGTGTTAAATAAATAAACGTGGCGCGATTTTTCCATTTTTTATGATTTTCAGGAGATCAATACAATATATCCCTTTAATTAACTGGCCACTACGAAGTTTAGATTACTAGAGCCTAACCTTCAAAACCTATAGCATACAATTTTAGTTTTAAGTTTTCGAAACAAATGTGAGGCATTTAAAATATGCTTAAAAACGCTGGATTTAAACTTTCACATAACAAACGATCTAAAACGTTTAAAACTTTATTTTTGTTTAATTACACTATTACGTTTTTCAAAATAACCAACCTTCTGCTATAAATTACACCCAAAATCGTCTTCTTGGAGGCATTTCCCGAGATGTGCGATTGTGTGTAATGTAAAACATTAAATTTTGCGTTTTTTTCATATTTCAAATGCCCCATATTTGTTGTCACAAATCAAAATTGAAATTTCATGTCATAGGTTTTAAAGATTAATCTCAAAAAATGAAAATTTTAATACGACTAGCCAATGAAAGTGATCATTTCTATTGATCTCACAAGAATCGTGAAAAATCGCGCCATGTTTATTAATTTAACGCCTTTATAAAAACTGAGTTTATTTGCTGCAAAATACAGAAACTGCATACGAAAACTGCACTTTTTACCTTTAAAACGCATCTTGATTTTTGTCGATAGGATACTTGATTAAAAGATATCGAATTTTTTCCGTCGAGCTGATACAGATTTTATTGAATATTGATTTCGCGCGCACAACGGACAATCAAAATCGACGGTCGCTTTAAGCGTTGTTTCTAAGAGAACGGTGCATTTTACACATTTTTGTTTAAAATTAACTCAGCTAAATTTTTTATTCAAAATATTTTATTCTACAATGTACAGATTTTTGGTGAATCGATTTATTTTTGCTTTTTACCCCCTACGAGGGGGTCATTAGGGAAAGCTCGGAGGTAAAAGTGGTAAACTTTTTACATCTTTTTTGGGGTCCCAAAATTAATATTCTCGACAAAATTCAGCCTGTTCGTATGATTTGTAGAAGTCAACTCTCTTACGACTAGAATAGAATTGGGCGGCCAATACCTGGGCAGCATATTTAGACCTTTTCCACTTTGGCAACACCTCTTACTTGGTGGACTTTTCATTGATGACGGGATACATTCTTCACGGCTTTAAACTTAAATGTTGCGACAATAGCATCTTTTAATATTTTGTACCGTCCTCTTCCTAGTCGTAATGACTGCTGAAGAGATCTTTATCGCGTAGGCCATCAAGGAAACATTGGATGGTTAATTTATGTCGCAACTCTTCCGGAACTTCGAGTCAAGCGAGTCGTGCCCACCTCTTTTTCGTTCTGAGAACATTTCTCTTTAGCCCCTTTTTCTTCTTGACGACGTTTCTCATCACCGTGTTTTTCTTCTAGACGATATTGTCCAATTGTGGCAATCATATTTCGAATTTCCTCCATCTTGGCCTCATTTCTTGTCTTTACCGTATAAATTCTCGACAATAACTTCTTTAACTTAATCCCACTTTCTTTGGGAGAAGATATATCTTCTCCAGACACCATTTTCATTTACCGCTCTATAGATTCGCCTTAGTATTTTTCTTTCGAAACATGTTTTCATTGATTTTTGTTAAAGTCCAGGTTTCTGAACCATATGTTAGGACTGGGCGTCTTATTGTTTTGTAGAGTTTTAATTTTGTATTTCTTGATATAACTGTAGATTTAAAAAGGAGATTAAGCCCAAAATAGCATCTATTAGCCGTGCAAATTCTGCGGTTTATCTCTGTGGTAGTGTCATTTTCAGTATTGACGAGCGTATACAAATGCGTTAACTGCTTCGATGACATCGTTTTCTATAACAATTGGCCGTAGTATTTGTGGTTGCGTACCTATTTATATTATTACGTATTTCGTTTTATTGATGTTTATTATTAAACCCATTTTTGTAGCCGCTTCCTTTAGTGCTACGTACGCCTCTCGTGGTGCGTTTTCCGTTCTCTCAACAATATTGATATCATCAGCATATGCTAGGATTTGCACAGATTTGTTATATATTGAACCGGTAGATATGATTTGTGACGTACGTATTACTTTTTCCAGAGCTAGATTGAATAGTATACAGGAGAGTGAGTCTTCCTGACGTAGCCCTTTATTTGTTTTAAAAGGTTCAAAGAGTTCCCCCTGGATTCGTACTCTGCATTCAACTTTTTTAAGGGTTAGTTTGGTTAGACTTACCAACTGATTTGGTACTCCTAGGTCTATCATTGCTCTAAACAATCCTCTTCTATTTACAGAGTCGTAGGCTGCCTTGTAGTCTATAAATATGTGATGTGTGTCTACACCGTATTCCAGTGTTTTCTCTAGAATTTGTCTCTGTTGAGTTAAAATCTGATGAATTGTTGATTTACCATCTCTGAAACCAGCCTGATATTATCCTATTATTCGCTCTGCATATGGTGCCATACAATGGTATAGTATATTGGAGAATATTTTATACGCTGCATTTAGGAGCGTAATTCCTCGATAGTTGGAGCATTCAAAGATATCTCCCTTTTTGTGTATGGTGCAAAGTATTCCAATATTCCAATATTCCAATCACTGGGAAGGGACTTCTGTATCCATATTTCTTTCATAAGCTGCTGTAGCGCTATTATGATATCTTGGTCACCTTCTTTATATAATTTCGTTAGGAGGTTTTCTATGCCGAGTGATTTGTTTCTGGCTAGTTTGTTTATATATATATATATATATATATATATATATATATATATATATATATATATATATATATACAGTGTGGAAACCACTTATGGAATAAAATTGTTTGTGTCCTTATTATAAAAAATAATCAAAAACTCTGGGACACGTTAACTTTTAAATTTAAATGTGCGCTTTTTAAACATAAGTTTAAAGGTACAGGGTGATCCACGCACGTCTGGCATAGTCCATAATCCTTATTTTTAATGAAACTCCCTGTATATTTTTATGTTTTTAAAATAATTTTGACAACCTGATTTCAATGAACTATATACAGACAATAGACTTCTACTCTAAGTACACTAAGTAGTCAGTACACTGTATATTGGGGATAAATTCTGTTTAGTAACCGTGTTAACATTTTTTGTCGTGAATAGGTAAAAACTGTATAGATAGTCTGCTAATTAAACTAAATCGGTAAATAATGCGGTTTGTTATCAATCAGTTGACATTTTACAATAAAATAATAAATTCTTAATTAAAAACTAATTTCTTGCAGAAATAAAAATGAAATATTTAACTAAGGCCCACCGAATTGAGATTTTAATGATGATCGGTTACGGGGAGAATTGTAGAAGTCAAGTTGAAGTAGTAAACTTATTTAATCAGAGGTATCCTCAGTTGTCTAATATTTCACAAGGTACTGTGTCTAAAATTTATGCACAATTCAGAGAACTTAGATGTGCCAAACCATTAAAAAGAAAATCGAACTTCATTGAAAATTAAGTGAAAGTGGATAGTTTATTAAGTGTCGCAGAGAATTCAACCTCAAGTTCACGTTAAATTGCACGTCAAAATAATGTGAGTCACACAACTGTCCTAAGGTGTCTCCATGAAGAAAACTTCATCCATATACATTGACATTTGTGCAGGAGCTAAAGACGATCCGGATCGTAGAATGTATTTCTGCAAAAGAATGATGGATAAAATTAACAAATGAAATAGCTCTTGGCACAATTCTTTTTTCTGATGAATCAAAACTTAGATTGAACGGGGAGTATCCTCGGGGAGACACTTAGTATCCTCAAAAGTTGAATGTTTGGGCAGGTATTATAGGAGATCATATTATTGGTCCTATATTTATGGATGATAATTTGACAGCGGAAAAATATTTAAGCATGCTAAGAGGCAATGTTCTTCCTTAGTTGGCTAACTTATATCCCAATCCAATAGATCCGACCCTACCGCATGAAACTGTTTGGTTCCAGCAGGACGGTGCAACACCCCATTATTCTTTAATGGTGAGAAATTACTTGAATGAAATCTTCTTCAATAAGTGGATTTGATGAAGAGGACTAGTGAGTGGCCAGCTAGGTCACCTGATCTTACGCCTTTGGATTTTTTTTGTGGGGTTATCTCAAGAAAAAAGTATATGCAACACAATCAACTATCATTAAAGACCTCAAAAAGTAAGGATAACTACAGAAATACGGAATATTTCACCTCAAACTTTAAACAAAGTTCGGAACGAGTTTTATAGGAGACTGTGTTATTGCCAATAACAAGGTAGAAAACATGTTGAGCATTTATTTTAATGTAATCCAATCAATTACCTCGGGTATTCTATGAATTCATTGTCTTGAAGAAATACATGATATAGTTCGTTGAAATCAGGAGCAATTAAGGAGCTTTTAAAAACAGAATATGCACTATGCCAGACTTACATTGATCACCCTGTAAATTCAAATTTATGTCTAAAAAGCGTACATTTATATTTAAAAGTTAAGGTATCTCAACGTTTTTTATTATTTTCTAAAATAAGGACACACACAATTTTATTCCATAAGTGGTTTCCACACTATATATATATATATATATATATATATATATATATATATATATATATATATATATATATATATATATATATATATATAGGTATGTGTATAATTCACAGTATGTTTTGTTCATAAAAGGATGTTAAAAACCGACAACTGTATGTCTGTTTTTTTTATTTTTGAAGTTTTTAATATACAAATGTGGATGTGGCAATTGAAAGATCTGATAAATATGTTTCAACTGTAACAACAGTTTTAAGTTTTAGCTGAATAATAACCTATTATATACATACAATCGATTGAAGGTAATTTTTTAATATTTTTTATTCATACCTATGCAATTTTCCAATTCGCCAATGCAAAAGAATCTCCCAATATATAGGAGCAACGAATGGATGAAAACTGATTTTATAATCTTTTATTTATGTTTCAGGTAATTCCGATTATTGGCCTCATTGTTTGGCTGCATATGTAATTCCTGTGATTATCTGCGCCTTTGCACTGCCACTATTGCCTGAAAGCCCGAAGTATTTGTTTGTAATAAAAAAAGATCAACACAAAGCCTTCCAACGTAAGTTTAAGGTAAATTTCGTGCATAGTTGTCACCATTTTTAACGACGGTTTCCATAATTTTAGAATTAAATCGACTTAGGAATTCAAAGCAAGCTGCAGTAAATTTAGAAATATTGAAACTAAAAAAAGAACAACAAGACAACGAAAAAAATACCAGGGTTGGTTGGAGTATTGGAAAAGTTTTAGTAGATCGTTCGTTGTTGTTACCTCTACTCTTGGTTTGTTCTCTTCAAGCTGGACAGCAATTAAGTGGAATCAATGCGGTAAGCATAACTCAAATTATCATTTGCAACTGTACGTGGACAATTATTTGATAGAAATAACACTGAAAATTGCTCTTTCAGCCCCTTTTACAAAATATATTCCAATAAGTGATGGCAAGTGTTTCGGCTGGCGATGAATATTTTTCAGTCAAATGTTTCACCATGTTTACTATTATGTGTGGGCGGCGGATGAAGAGATCTGGAATAAATTTGTCTCAAATTGGTCCTGAAGATTTAGTTTGAATTGTAAACTATTTAATTTTTTTTGTAAAAATGGTCGTGATTATCAGCCGTTTTGCGTCCACTGCTGAATATAGGCATCCCGTAAATAATTCCATTTCATCCAATCTTGAGCACCTGAATCCAGTTGTGCTGGATATGCTTGATGTCATCTGACCACCTTGTTGGAGGACGTCCTCGATTACGATAAGCATCGTGTCAGGATCTTATTTCTAAAATTTTCTTGGTCCATTTTCCATCTCTGACTCTGGCAACATGTCCTGCCCAGTTCCATTTAAGCGTTGTAATTCTTTTAACTGCGTCTGTAACACCAGTTTTTTCCTAACTATTTGATTTAAAACTCTGTCTCTATAGGATATATTCAACATTAACCTCTCCAGTGCTCATATGTGGCACAGTGCTCTCTGTGGCACTGGTATCTTATGGATTACTTTTCTGGTCAGGTTCAACGTGTCTGCTCCATATGTTAGAACTAGAAGTACACATTGATAAATCACCTTTTTTTTTCCAGCAAATAGGAATATCTGATCTAAAGAATTCCCTCAGTTTTCCGTAAGCTTCCCATGTTAGTCCTATTCTCCTATTTAAGTCTGTTGTTTAATTGTCTCTTCCTAATGTAATCTTAATTTAAGTTAATCTCGTGGTCCAGATACTTGATAAGTATAAACTTGTTTAATTTGCGTGCCATTAGTTGAAATGTTTTTGGCCAGTACAATGTTGGTCATGTATTGTGTTTTAGAAAAGTTAATTTTAAGGTCAATTCGTGTACAAAACTCTGAAGGCCTTGAAGAAGTTGACTGGCATGATCTACCCGGTCTACAATAAGGACTATGTCGTCTACAAACCTCAAGTTGATCAGAAACTCCCCGTTTATGTTGACTCCAATATTTTCCTAATTTTTGTTTCTCATGGCACTCTGTAATAAAGCGGTGAATAGTTTAGGAGAGATGTTTCCTTGCCTAATAAGGGAAATGTGTTTGTCTCGCCATAGTACATTCTCACTGCAGCTGTTGCGCTATTATATATATATATAATAGCGCAGTCATATGCTTTCTCAAAGTCTACAAATATTAATATCAATGGCTTTTTGTATTCTATAACTGTCTCTGGATTTTATTATCTGTAGGTGGTCATTCGGTCTATATTCGGCATCCCGAATAGAGAAAAGAGCCTTAAAAAAATACTCCAAGCCACTCCTAAATCTGACTTGTTCTGGTATTTCATGAAAATCTAGCTTAAGTCCCAGTCTGTTAGTAATTATTCTCAATATATATAAAGGAGATAACAAGGTGAGATGTTTGTAGTTTCCAATTATTGCATCTCCTTTTTATACAATATTATCATAATGTCACTATTCCATTTTCTGGAGACTATTGCCATTCCTTTAAAGAGGCAGGTATTATAAAGAGTTTTTAAAGCTTTTATGACGCATTCGCTACCTAGTTTTATTATTTCACTTACAGTGCCATCTTCTCCAAGTGTTTTATTGCTCTTCATTCCTTTTAACGCTGACTTAATTCCCTTTTCAGTTATATTTGGAAGTTCCTCTGATCCTTGATTTTGTATTGCTGGGATCTTTACCTCTGGAATGTGAGCATCTCGACTATATAATTGTTCATATATGGCATCTCCTTGTTTATTTTTTAATTTATAAAAATTCTTCGTTCCTCTAACTTTTGTTTTAGAACTGTTAGGCTTTTGTTTTGTTCTATGGTATTAGCTGTTTCTTTAGTGTTAACGTTCCTTATGTCTTTCCTAACGGCATTTGAAATGGTTTCGTTTAAATTCCTAAGCTCTGCAATGTTCGTTGTGTGGTTATCTTTCATTTCCCTCCTTTTAGTTTAGGTTTCTTGTGTCTTCTGTTAGTTTTTCATGTTTCCTTGTTTGCTTGGCTTGGTACTTATGTGCCTTTTTTAGCGCGTCCACCAACATTTCATTAAGCTGTTTAATTATTAAGCTGTTATTAATTTCCTCTTGCATGTCATTCTGTAGGTTACTCTCTATTTCTTCCTGGTATGCCATTATGTTATTAATCGAAGTGAATGTGATATTTTTAGTCCTTATTACCATATTTCTTCTTACCTTCTTTACATTCAAGACTATTTTCGGTCTTACCATTATATGGCCACTTTCGGTTGAAAATTTATTTAATACAGTTATTTAATGGACTGTATTAAATACAGTTATTTAATACAGTCCATTTAAAACGACAAAGGGACTACTACAGGGTTGCTCCACATCCCACACCCTGTCAAAATATTCCTGGAAAAAACCCTGAAACCATGGAAAAGAAAGTGCGAAGAAATGGGTATATCAGTAAGGAACGAATATCTATATACGCTAAGTTTTGCTGACGACCAAATAGTGATTGCACAAGACGAGGATGACCTCAGTTTTATGATGAGAAAACTGAAGCAGGAATATACAAAGAATGGAATGGAAATAAACCTAAAGAAAACTGAATACCTAACAACGGAGAATGCAGAAATAAAACAGCTGGAAACAGACGAAGATAAACAAATCAAAGGAACAGACAGGTATAAGTATTTAGGTTTCATAATATCAAACAAAGGAGCAACGGAGGAAGATATAAAAAATAGACTAGGACAAACAAGAGACTGCATACGAAAATTGAACCCGGTACTATGGGATAAGAACATCAGCATGAAAACAAAGAAAAAAATATATAATACTATGACAAGAAGTATCCTCACTTGTGGGCGTGAAAATTGGACAATAAATATGAAAACAAAAAACAAAATAAGATCAACAGAGATGGAATTCCTAAGGAGAAGCTGCAGAGTAACAAGAAAAGATAGAATAAATAACATGGAGATTAAGAGGAGAATGGGAATGAACTCCGACATAATAGACTACATCGAACAGAAGAGGTTAACTTGGTACGGACATGTCACAAGAGCAGACCAAAATCGGTGGATAAATAGAATAACAGAGTGGAGCCCGATAGGAAGAAGAAAGAGAGGCAGACCCCAAAGATCTTTCAGAGATGAAGTGGACAAAGCAATGAGAAGAAGAAACCTACAGGAAGGGGACTGGCTAAACAGGAAAAATTGGAGAAAACGGTTGAGTGAAGGAATACAGTGAAAACTGTGGAAATCCTTGTATATATATATATACTTGTATATATTATACTCTTTTATAGATCTATAAGTTTCGCTTTTTATATCGAGAAATATTTATATAAGTAGTGCTCGGATTGTATTTGTATAGATAACACTTCATTGCTTTGGTAATTACCTTTTGATACTTTTGACTGTAGTATCCAACCGATATTGAGCTGAATATCACATTTATTTTAATATTTTTTTTTAGGTATTTTACTACTCCACCGCGATATTCAAAGCAGCAGGATTGTCCGATAGAGCAAGTGAACTCGGTACCATTGGTTCTGGTTTATGCAATAATTTCATGGCAATTTTGTCGGTATGGACAATGTCACGCTTTAACAGAAGATTTTGTATACAAGTCAGCACAATAACCTCAGCGATATTTTTGATAATTCTAGGGTTTGCAATCAGATATATTGTAAGTAGAATTCGTATTGTGTCATTTTTTTTATAGAAGTTTGCAAACTAGCTTTAAATGATGTATTATTGATATATGATCAAATTTAAAATTATGATACAAAATGGCATCCAGCTGCCCATTTTTAATAATTACGTCAGTTAATATTGCTAAAAACGTTAGTTGAAAAAATAAATTAAAATTTTTTTATTCAGAAAATAGTATTGGCAATTGTTTAATTGTAGTGATTTAAAGATGTAGTCACTACCGAACCATCAGGTTGATGAGTCATGATTTAAAGATATTTCTACGAATTTTGCACTGTAGGATGTACCAAAAAATAGAACAACAACTTGATGATACACAGTTTAGATTCCGCAATAACCTTGGAACAAGAGAAGCACTATTTAGTATTCAGGTTACGGTACAGAGATGCATAGATGTCGGACATCTAGTTTATTTATGTTTTATTGACTTTGAGAAAGCCTTTGATCGCGTAAAACATACTGAAATGATAGCCATTCTTCAACAGGTAGGTATTGATGATAAAGACCTACGCATTAATAAAAATCTTTACTGGCATCAACGTGCAAACATCAACATCTAATTAATAGGATTGCCACAACATGTGATGAACATGGCCTTAAGCTAAACACCGCAAAGACAAAGGTGATGGTCGTCAGTAAAACGCCAATACAACCGAAAGTGGTAACAGCTTATGGTGAATAACTGGAGAGAACTAACAGTATCACTTACCTTGGTTGTAATCTAAATGAGAACTGGGATATGAGCAAAGAAATTAGAATAGGATAGAGAAGGCTAGAGTTGTATTCTTGAAGACGAAGAAACTGTTATGTGGAAACAATATTACTTTCAAGTCTGAAAATTAGATTAGTGAGGTGTTATGTGTTCTCTGCTCTTTTGTATAGTGTCGAAGCTTGGACTTTGACGGATACAATTCTTAAGAAACTGGAAGTCTTTGAAATCTGGGTATATCGGAGAATCCTACAAATAAGTTGGGTGAATAGAATTCGTAACGAAGTTGTTTTGCATCGGATGGGAAAAGTTACGGAAGTCGTCAAAACAGTTAAAAATCACAAACTTGAATATTTTGGCCGTGTTATGTGTCACCCAGAGAGATATAATATACTCAATTTAATAATACAAGGCAAGGTAGACGGAAGAAGAGGGCCAGGTCGAAGAAGAACGTCATGACTAAGAAACCTGAGAGATTGGTTTAACAGATCCTCTGCATCTCTTTTCCGAGCTGCCGTCAACAAACTTAGTATAGCCAATTTGATAGCCAACGCTCGATAATCGAGCACGCCACATGAAGAAGAGAATTCTTTAACTAACGACAGTAATTTATCAATACTTTCAGCTGAAGTTTTTAGCTGAAACTGATGTCTATATCGGATTATGAACAGAACTTAAAAAGTGTTTTAAAATAAAGTACTACTTAGCTTATTGTAGCAGGGTTTCAACCCTATGTATTAAAACGCAAAAACATAAACAATTTAGGTGTTGTAGACAGAGCAAAGACAGAGAAATTCGTAGAAGGTTGACTATTGCTAGAACAGCCATGATGAAAATGATAGCAATTTGGAAAAATTCTAGCATAACAAAACACACAAAACTAAGGCTGGTAAGGGCGCTCATTTTTCCCATAGCCACATATGCATCCGAAACGCTTTTGAAATGTGGGTATACCGCCGCATGTTGAGAATATCCTGGATTGATCATCGCGCTAACGTATCGATATTAGACCAACTTAAAGTAAAGGATAGATTGCTTAAACAAATACAACGAAGATATTTGCAGTATTTTGGACACATTGCTAGAAGAACAGGCACGATGGAAAAACTGATAGTCGAGGGTAGAGTTGAAGTAAAAAGACCTAGGGGAAGTTCTCCAAGCCGTTGGGTGGATCAAACAAAAACATTGATTAATCAAGGGTTACAGCCGAAGAAATATATTAGAATATAATGCAGTCAATAATAGTTAGTCATTGTGCATATTAGAATATTGTTTCATAACAGTTGATGTAGATGGATAATGTAATTGTTTATACGTTACGCTTGATATTGTAAACAGTCGTTCACCTAATATATAGAAATAATTACTGTATTTATAATATAAAGCATTGACAAATAGTTAGTAAACCCTCTAACATCCCTTCTATACCATATGGTGATCTTTTTATAAAACAATATAATACCATTTAATTATTTTTTCAATAATGCGTCCGTCTACTATTTTTAATTTTTATGCCACTGAAAAGTTCGTGAACAGGTGCCTCAGTTCATTTACCCAAAAATTTATTAACTTAACATTTTTATTTATAATACCCCACTTTGCTTCTTTGAGTATTCTGTAACTATACCGGATCATTATCCATGTAAAGTATGTCTTAAAGTATATCGTATAGGATTATTTCTCCTTAAACGATTTAGTTGCCTTCTCCAATATCCCCAATGACGGTGGATATCTAATGAGAATGGTGATGGTCAGGGAATAAATGCTTTGATGAGGAAAAACCAAGGTCTGTAATAATAATATTTCTATTTTCAATATAAATAGTTTTGACCTACTACATTTCTTTTTATGAGTGTATTTATAGTTTTTAATATTTGTTCCTACACCTATGTGGTACGACTATATTGTACTTCTAGTTAGAAACAAAATCAAACTAAATAGCATAATGGTGTTTTACAATATGTGTGGATAAAGGATTAACTCAGAAAACCATCTTAACGCGTGAAGTAGCGTTTATTAAAGAGTATTAGCATGTAGTAGTGCAAATATGTAGATAAGTCGGAAATATATTGGAGAATACAAAAGAGCAATAAATGGAATAATTGTTTCTATCTATCTCTTGTTTCTCTCATGTGTAATATTCTTAGACATTTCTTGTTCTTAGCATCCGTTACACATGCCCCAATCATTTGACTTTTTGCTCCCTAATTTACTGTGTTATTGACGATTTGATTGAAGATAGCCTATATATCTCCGTTAGTTACCATATATAAGTCCGTTAGTTCGTCTCATGTGTTCTTTGATCAAGTACTGTTGATCGAAATATAAGGTATTTACTCATCCCATTCTTCTGCTAATATAAAACGATTAGAAGACCTTTGGAATGAGTTTGTAACGAGAACGTTACTTTAATATTTTGTAAACATTTTTTGAATAAATTTTAAAATTCCAATCCTCTTAATGATTTTCTAAATTCTTAAAATTTAAGTTGGTATTAAACAACGCCACCTACTGCGCTGTAAGGGACATGACCATCGGTCTAATAATTAGAGCTCATTCTGGTTTTAACTTTTTGGTAAACAACTTCGTTTAACAAAGGCTAAATTTGTTTTAAAGAATATTAATTTTGTTGGGGAAGGAAAGTATGGAGTTGTTCAGTTGTTTTATAGTGTAGAATCGTTGATTTAAAAGCCACCTCTAGTCGCCTACCCCCAAGAAGTTAAATCCGGAATCAAGGATTTTTCTTTTATTTAATTTTGTTGGGGAATTAAATTACTACACTCGGAAAAGAAATTACGTTTTGATTTTGCCCATTTGCCGTCTATTCCATCAGGGGTCCAGAGCTCTCCCGACTACTCTTGGAGCAATTCCGGATACCAGCCGAAAGACCTCCCTTATTTATAGGGTGGAACCTTGTTAATTTTTATATTGTTTATCCATTAATTTAATAATTTTGTTCATAATACTTTTTTTTCAATCATAAATTTTAATATTTCACTTAATAATAAAGACTTGTCATTTTTTCTAAATAACTATAAATTACATAAGCATTAATTTTTTTACGTTCAGGTTGAGGTTTTAAATCCTCCCTTGTAACTCGGTTGTACGATTTTTTGTGTACACATTTAATCAGAGAGTTATTTTTTTTAGATTTTATTATCATTATATATTTAAACGTTTGGACACTTATCTCGTCAAGATAGTGTACTTATTACTTGTTACTATTATATTCAATAAAGCCAGAATACAGAGTTGCATCTCTGAGGCAAATAAATTAGCTTTTTAGGTCAATTATTACTATTTTTTCCCATATTTTATTATTTGTAAATTTAGATCATCCAGGATCAGTTGTATAACCAGGGCATTTATTTGTTGTATATAACTAGATTAGCTGTACATAATTGGTGTTGGGTATATTAAATTTAGATTGTATATATTTGGCTAGGGATTAAAGTTTTGAGTGAAAACTAAATATTTCAATTCATACCTATATCCTTTTTTTTATTTTAGCAAATAGCTTTACAAGATACCTTGGAAAGTTTAGGCAAATACTTTCCTGGCACCTACTCACATTTTGGAGCAACTTCTATAATCATTTTTATTTATCTTAGTTATATACCTATAGATTTTTTTTATTAATTCATTTTCTAATTCTACGGTCTCTGTAGGGTATGAAAATTGGCCGAATTCTCCTTTGAGTGTCAAGCAGTCACTCTCCGGCACCTTCTGCTAGCCAGCTTAAATTATACGTTATCCTTTCCATTATCCTACACGTTTTTGTTACATTGGCATCCAACAGCCCAAAGCATTTTTGTTATATTTAGGTCCAACGGCGCATAAATCTTTTTTTTTTGTTATATTGGCGTCCAACGGCGCAAAAATCATTTTTTTGTTATGAGTTATCCTGTGACCTTGGTTTGTATTTAAAAAATCGTCGATTACGTTATTACACCAACACTGATGACATAATGTCCAACACATACACATATCCGTCCTTCAATCATCACGTATATGCGGTTCATTTCTTCTTCTTCTTAAAGTTCCATCTCCTATCGGAGGTTGGATATCATAACGGCTATGGTCACTTTGTTGGCTGATGCTCTGAAAAGTTGTAGTGAACTACAGTTAAACCATTCTCTAAGGTTTCTCAGCCAGGAGATGCGTCTTCTTCCTATGCTTCTTCTTCCTTGGATCCTTCCTTGCATAATAATTCTCAGCAGCTCATATTTTTTCCTCTGGTTATGTGACCCAAATACTCTAGTTTTCTTCTTTTTATGCTGTTCATAATTTCTAACTCCTTATTTAGACGTCGTAGTACCTCAGCATTGGTAATCCTTTGGACCCACTGAATTCTTAGATTACATAAACTCGATAAAAATACACTGATCTTTATAAGGCGGTGCATTTGTATATGTTTTTAATATCCTGACCAATTGTTTGTGGTTGAATTAAAAATAAAAGCGCATTTCTTTAAAAGATAAAACTTTTTGAGGACGTTGAGATCGGTAAACAACACTTCTGTGCTAGTTTTCCCGCACCCCATACCTCGTAAAACAAGGATTGTGTCTCCCTACTAACAAAACAGAAGATTCATCACTGAGTAAAATGTTTTTAATTTGTTTCATCATTAGCCTACGTTATTAGAGTTTCACAAAACTTCATTCTTTCGTCCGGATAAAGCTGCGTTTTGGAATATTTAAAATTCTTGAAACCGTGCTGCTTTAACGGTTTCAAGTATTTTAAATCATATATACATCCATATCACTATACGACACTACACTTTAATAACAAATAAATGTATAAAATCTATATTTTAAATAATTAAAATATTAATCTTTATAACTGGTAATATTTTATCTAGCAATTATATCAACTAATTATAACAGTAGTTTTATAGTAGTCTAACCACTGAACTGTCTGTCTTTTAGGATTCCTATGCATGGGTGCCTTACTTAAGCATAATAGGTGTACAAGGATATATCCTATGTTACGGATTCGGTTTAGGACCAATTCCATACTTCATAGGTTCAGAATTATTCGAAGTTGGTCCGAGATCAAGTGCTATGGCGTTGGGAAGTATGTTTAGTTGGGGCGCTAATTTAATAGTAAGTCTTACATTTCCCTTAATGCAGATGTATCTTGGAACGGCATCGTTTTTCATTTTCGCGCTAGTTGCTTTTGGATTATTCGTCTTCACTAGGTAAGTACAATGTAAAAGAATAATGTACAACGATAACGTAACAATAAATTTTATTATTTATTAATTACCGCAGAAGGTTTTCGGTTAGAAGTAAATGTCAGTATTCGTATATAAGCCCCCCCCTTCCACCCGAATTCAGTTGCCACTCTGGCCAAGTGTGTTTTGGTGAGTTTCATATTCAACGAGCCGCCTGCTGGAACTGGAGCGTTCTCCCAATATATAAACCCTCTTATCAGAAGCCACGTAATAAAACTACAAGGGCTAAATCGAAGTGGTATGTATTCGATATTAGTGACGAAAGACATTGGGGAGAAAACCAACACTAAAATATGTTTTTCAAAGTAGATGACGAGTGATCAGTTGAAGGAGATAGTTTTCTAATATATAAAAAATATATACCAAACATGTAACAACCAAAGTGTGTGCATCAGAGTTCTATATCAGAGTATTCTAAAACTAAAGTTATGATATAAACTTGTAAATTTGTAGCAAATAAAATTATCTATCTATATAAAAATTCCAGCCCGATAGAGTAACTACGCCATCTAGGAAAGAAATCTGTACTACCAACATCTGAAATTTCAATTATAATTTGTTCTTGAAACGATATGGTTGATTGACTGCTAATTCATTCTACAAATTAATGATTGATGATAAAATTAAATAAAATTAAATAGAATTAAATAAAATAAAAAAATAAATTAATAATATTAAATAAAATTAATTAAAACTATATAAAATTAAACAAAATTAAATAAAATGTAATGATAATCTAAACGATGAATAAATTCTACATAATATTTAACAAATTTTAAAAATGACTAAGGTTATTAAACAAAATTTTTAAAGAAAAAAATTAAGAATTTTTAAATTTTAAAGAATTGTAAATATGTGGTGTTAATATAAAAAAATATTAACAATCTAGTATTAAGCAGACATATAATTTCATTAACCCACATAGTAATAACTTGCTATAAGAAGTATTCGCTTCTGCGACACTCTCCACGTGCCACGTGCCATTTTTATTATTATTTTTTTTTAATGAGTGACTGTAGATGGCAATAATTGATTGGATCTCCCGTCACATGAGACCGGCAAAATTGCTGGTACAGTTATAAGCACCAACTATGAGCCCCCGGTAAGAAAGTAGAACAAGTATATTAAGATATTTTAAACAGTTACACAAAATACCTAAACACTGTATACGATGCTAATTATTTATAGAATATAATAAGTAGAAGATGAGGCAGAATGAGCTATGGGAAACTTGGGCTATATTGAGAGAAATGAAAGAGGTGTCAGGTCTATTACTATACTTTTTATATCAGAAGATATAATGAACTTTGTGACTCTTTGTGATGAACTTCTTTTTCAATAATAAACTCCAACGTAAGTGGACATGGATAAAATAATTAAGAATGTGACAGTATTGAATATATTTTTGATACGAAGTGATAGAATAACTAGAGCAAAAATCAGTTTAAACATGAAAATAGAAAGAAAAAAAAACGATCCTTAAAAACAAGAATATAATAGGTATGGATTATTACAGAAAACAGCGTAGAAAATAAAATGAAAAACAATATTGTTCACGCGTTGAAAGAAGAAATATTACTATATGGAGTTGAAGCCTGAACACTGACGCAAGTCACTGAAAAACAGATTGACGCCTTCGAGATGTGGATCTACAGGAGGATACTAACAATATCATATGTGGACCATGACACCAACGTTGAGGTCCTACAGCGCATGACAAAAGAAAAAGAAGTGCTTAATTTAGTGAAACAATGTAAGCTTGAGTACCTCGGCCACGTGATACTAAACGAAGAAAAATATCGAATTGTTCAACTCGTTATGCAGTGTAAAGTATTTGGCAGAAGAGGACCGGGGCTCCGTCGTATCTAGTGGTTAAAAACCTCCGACGATGATTTGGATGACCTCCGCGGAGCTGTTTCGCAGAGCAGTCATCAAAACCATGATAGCCTTGATGATCGCCAACATCCGGATCGGATAAGGCACTGAAGAAGAAGAAGTTGAAAGATGAGGAAAAGAAATGCTGTCTAAGATCTAAAAAGGAGGAAAACTAAGCCATAACACAAACGAATTAAAAAGTTTAAACCGGGAAATCAAGAGTGAGATTCGAAAGGACAGGGCGTTAAAAAACGAGAAAAATATCTGCTAATATAGCTACTTATTATTGTACATTTCGACAGGCCAGAGGACAGAAAACAATTTATTTAATTTATTTAGTTCTTCGCCACCAAAGCAGGTAGCACTTCTGTGCTCGAACCACTGAAAGTGGGTAGATATTTCAGACGTTCTTGGACTTTTTGATATGAATCGGAATCAGCTCGAACGGCTGACGAAGCAGAGATACTGAAATAACTGTTATATCGTTCTATTGATTCCGATTCAGACGTGAAAAGTTTGACTGCTAAAAGAGACTTATACTTACACTATATATATATATATATATATATATATATATATATATATATATATATATATATACAGTGTAGGTAAAAGTTTATGGTCGGTATTGTAAAATTTAACAGGATATCTAACAGAGATATAAAATCATATTTTTAGCGAATAGACAAAGATAACAATATTTCCCCTTGGTCTTCCCTCCACATTTCTCATAGACGCCCATTAGTGAGACGATTAGTTCCGATCAGAGATATTTTATATATCTCTGGTTCCGATCCAGCTTATACCTAAGAAACTAGAGATGGGTCGTTGACATTTTAATCGTTAACGAAACTGAATCGTTTTTCGTAAACAAGTAACTAGTTGATTGCTTACCAGTAGTTTCAAATAAGCGAGTACATAAACAAACATATTGGCTATTATCGGTTATGTGTATACACTGTGTGTCAGCCAAATGGAATAAATTAGCTAACAAATAAATGAGGGAGTATTCGAAAAAACGGTTGAACACGTCGATTAGTATTTATAGTTGCGCATTTTTTTTTCATACAAACTTTTTATACTGGGTGTATCAGATAACGGTGGCCAATACCAACTTGCTTAGGTTAAATAGAATACCCTGTATATTAATTAATTTTTAGATTCCTCAGATCATTTTAGACATTTTTTAAATACAATGTCCTTAACCCGGCACTACATATGTGGGGTTTCACAAACCCCAGCTCCCAAATATCGCTCTTAAAATAAATCAAACGCAGACTGCGCACGTCCACCCCAATAGCTTCCCAAAAATGTCCCCACAATCGAATTCAGGCGTTACCTCAGTACATTGTAGGCAGTGAGTGAAGTTACACGCGCCTGAAACGCTTTGGGGTGTGTCAAACCCCACCTATGTACTCACGTTTGCAATTTTGACATTATAAGTAAGTTTTTATTTTTGACTTATTTGAATCTGCATATTAAATTGTTTAATTTTTTAGCTAAAATATCATGTCATACGAAGCGGAACAGAAAAAACTTGAAGCTCTATGGGCTGAAATTGATGACAATCCCATCGAATCGGGAAGCGATGACGATACACCGACTCGGAGCAGGATATCGCAACAGAAGATGTAGTTTCTGACGAAGATTCAGACATGGAGACATCTAAAACAAAACTTCAGAATGAGACGGAAAATAAAAGCACTGACGGACCTCCAAGAAACGAAGAAATGTATCTCGGAAAAGACGGAACACAATGGAACAAACTTGCTTCAAATAATAAACGGGTTCGAACAAGATCAGAGAACATTATTACTCATTTGCCCGGTGTGAAGCATTATGCAAAAAATGCTAAAGCTGCTTTAGATTGTTAGCAATTTTTTTTTGACCGACAAATGATCGAAGACATAGTGCACTGGACCAATCTCAAAATTCAACAAAAATCAATTGAATATCAAAATAAATGCATGGTGAAACCAACCAATGAATGTGAAATTAAAGCATTTATCGGACTTCTTTATTTAGCAGGTATGTTTCATTCTAATCGTCAGAATTTGAGAGAGGCAAACAGATGGGACTTGAATTCCTGATGGTCTGTCTTCGGTTCGATAACATCGAGAATCGTAAAGACAGATTGGCGATTGACAAATTAGCTCCAGTTCGTGGAATTCTGTACAAATTTATTGAAAATTGTAAGCAGGCCTACACTCCTTCTCAATATGTGACGATAGATGAGAAGTTGAAGTATTTTCGTGGAAGATGTACTTTCAAACAGTACATGCCCAACAAGCCTGCAAAGTATGGGATCAAAGTGCAAGTCCTAGTTGATGCCCGTTCGTACTACGTTTTATATTTGTAAGTGTATGCAAGAAAACAGCCAGAAGGTCCCTACAGTGTTAGTAATTCCCCAATAGATATAGTAGAAAGCCTAATACACATATTTCTGGTTCTAATCGAAATGTGACCTTTGACAACTGGTACACTAGTTGTGAGTTAATGATAAAATTGCTGAACGAGCATAAACTTACGTCAGTAGGCACGCTGAGAAAGACCAAACGATGCATCCCAGCACAATTTTTGACAGTCCAGAACAGAGAACAAATGACATTTTTATTTGGCTTTCAGAAAGATATTACACTTTTATCGTATGTGCCGAAAAAAAAAAAAAAATAAAAACGTCCTACTGTTGTCCACCATGATGAAGCAACTGGCGATAAAAATTTACCAGAAATAATACGCTTCTACAACTTTACTAAAAGTGGAGTAGATGTAGTGGATGAACTGTCTGCATCATATAACGTATCTAAAAACTCACGGAGATGGCCTCTTACGATCGTGTTTTCTCTCTTGAATACAGCCGCTATAAATGCTTTTATGATATACGGAGAAAACAATCAAGATTTCAAACTTGCCAGAAGATTGTTTATCAAAATGTTGGACTTTGAATTGATCCAGGACCACATATCTGAAAGAAAAAATAATCCAAGAATACCAAGGAGTATTCGTCAAAACATTGCACATTTTGGCCAAGATGCCCCTGCAGTGGCACCTGCCAAGATTCCAAAACTCATGGGAAGATGTTCAGTATG